TATGTGTTTTGTGGTCTTATTTCAGCAACTTTCATTTTTATTTTTTTCAATAACCACGCATAAACATTATTCTATTAAAAATACAAACATGTACATACATGTTGCTCACTCATCATGGTAGCCAAGTTTGTGCTATATAGAGTGAATTTACACCTTTGCCATTAACATGTTTATAAATAACTGAAAAAAGCACAAATGTCAGTGCATGTCAAAACATCCCAAGGGCCCCAAAAACACTCTGGTCCCCAGAGGGTTAAGTCAACAGGGTGCGAATTTTAAAAAGAGGATAACGCGGTGTAGGCAACACCGATTTTTGTCGTTGTTATCTGTACTGACAGCACTCCAAATTTACAAAAAAATGAGCTCAATGTTAAAATTGACCGGAGTTCTCCTTTAAGGTGATTTAGTTACATTGTAATTACTCAAATAAGTAGAGTAATATTATAATGATGAGTAATATTTCAGTCTGTTGGCTTGATAGACTTTTGCCTAGACTTTTGCCTAGTTTTGCAAGTGTCCATGCAGTTGTTGCGCTCTTCTGTTACTGATAATGTGAATATGCAATTAAAAAACTTTTTATTAAAATTAAAAATTTTCTGACTCCAGCCTGTTTCCATGCAACTGGCCTTTTACCAATAAAATAGTGTGCGTAATGTCATCCATTAAAACAAAAACACATGGGTTTTTGAATCGCTAAAAATCTGCCTTTGAGCCGTTTCAATACATTATTGCGCATATTCAATTAGGAACGAAACACTGCTGTGTTGATTGGAGATGCACACCTGTTCTGTATTTGTTTGAAACTATTTTCTTTGGTGATATTATCTCTAAAAAAAAAAAAAAATCTAACTTCTTGTTTATTGAACTGTTGTATAAAATCGATATCAAATTTGTGATCATGCTGATAGTGTCACAGTCTCGGAATCTTATGTTGATATTCTGTTGTGTTTCCCTTAGTTCCTGTTTACCTGCTGTTTAGTTTCATTTTCTGATCATGTCCCTGTTAGTTTCTATGGATAATATGGATAACTATCAGCGGTGTCTTATTTAGTTCCTTGTTATCTCCTTAATATATACTCCCTGTTCAGTTCAGTCCTCTGTCAGTTATTGTCTTTTGTTTATCTCCTGCCTATCCTCTTACTTTTATCTTTAAAGTCAATTTTGATTATTCCTATTTCGTGCGTGTTGTCTGCTACACCGACAGTTTACAGATAGGCTATTCCAAAAAAAAAAAAAAAAAACAGCTCTCTTGCTCATGTAATATATTGTTAAAAAAAGGAACTCATTAGAGAGTGAAGACAAAAAATGTTATTGTTTCATGTTATTTTTAGTATTATTATTCTTTATTAGTATTCATAATCAGTGGTATTATGTATTTTATTAAGTTTAAAGTGCATGAATACATGAAGTATTCTAAATAAGGAAATAGGATTGTGTAGTGTGATCTATACATTATATTTTAAACATGAACATGTTTCTCTACCTTGTAAGGATAGTGTAAGTTCCCTATAGGCATATTTGGACAGAAGACGAGACAGAGTTCTTTATTAAACTCATAAAAAAAAGGAATTAGAGGAATACTGAATTCTAAACAACAAAGAAATGCCACAATTTATCAAGACCACAAAGCTTATATGAGGGAGAAGGGCTTCCAGAGCCATGGCAAATATTACACTCCAAATGGAAAGCTATCAAACAGAAGTATCTTTTGGAATAGAGAAACCTCTGCAAAAGCTGTGCTGGTGGGAAAGGGATAATACAATTTAAAGAATTTCAACCTAATGGACGAAATACTTGGCCAGAGACCAATTGTCACATTGATAAGCACAGTTCTGAACAGCTTAGGTAAATATCTCAAATGTTTTGCGCAAATCTGTAATGAAAAGCAGGTTACTATCTCACCAGTATATTGTCTTTGTCTCCTATGTCATGACATATAATAATAAAAACGGCAAAATAACTGGTGGTCACTTCCGTGATTTGGGGAGGAAAGCTTAATTTCAAGTCTACAGAGAGTAATTTTTGCTCCCATATCTTAAATTGAGGGATTTTTATTCATTTTGGTGGCACTTTTGCCCAACGATCATGTTAATATCTGACCCTGGTCTATCTTTTCGCTTGGGAATATCATTAAAGAAAAGAATAAAAGATAATGTTGATAAACAGGTTTATGGTGCAGTTTTGTGTCGCAACGTGTTGTCTGCTGAGTTCCATGTGAGCCGCGTGGCAGTGAGGACACGTCAATTATTAACTTAAAAAGCATCTGTTGATCTATCATTCACAGCCCATAATGAGAATGAACAGCAATATATTTATATAAATATTTATTTTCTTGCTATAACACCAAGCACACATAAAAGCACATAAAAGCAGACGTTTATTTAATTATGAAGCATTGGTCTCCCCTAGTCCCCTTGTACAAAGAAAACAAATTCAATAAACAAGGAGCAAAACACTACCAACAAAAACAAACTCCGTCGAGGTGTTTCTCCAGATTCACAGACTGACATGTAAAATGAATGTCGACTCAATGGACGAGCAAAGGGAACTCGGAGCTCGGCTGGGGTGCGAGGGAGAAATGGAAACCCCGGAGTAGATCTGGAGCAGCAGAGTCATTACAGAATGCATTTAGCACGGATTGACATCCCCCTCTCAGATACAGTTCTCTGCCTGCAAGAGGGGCACCTCAGCCCATGAGGGAAATTACCTACGTCTGATATAGCTTTCATTCTCTAGGTCAAGACATAATTTCGTAAAAATAATAAATCAGTTTGCCATGTACGGGTGCACTGATGAATCTTTGTCATAGCATCCTCCTTTCAAGGGTTAAGGAGATTTCACATGACAGACATCAGTGCTGGTCAATAAATTGATCTCTATGAAGATTCAATGGTACTCTGGCACTGTGTTACTTGTCGGTTAAGCCTCGCTCAAGGTGGTGTGTAAAATTCAAATAATATGAAATTTTAAAACCTTATTTCATTCCTGAATCAATTAGCGCTTTTGTATTGACTGGATGGACTATCTTCTCTCCCCAGTATTTTATTGGTGAACATTCAGTCACTCAATAAAAAACTTGACGAAGTTAATGCTCGGATTACCTTTCAGAGAGATAAGAAACTGCTGTGTGCTGGCTTTCTGTGAAATGTTGCTTCACAACACAGTGCCCAACGCAGTTCGTATTATCAACGAACTGTTCTCCTGATATTGAACTGTTAACGATTAAAGTGTGTCCCTTATACCTCCCTCTGGAATTCAGTTTAATCATTCTAACTGTAATCTACAATCACAGGTGGATAAAACCAAAACTCTAGATTATCTCTATTTTACTGTAAATGGACTGGAAAAGAAACACCCTTTTATTGTTGTAGGGGATTTTAATAGAGATAACATGAGGAAAGTTATTCTTAAATATGTAAATATGAAACTGAAAGACAGTTTCAAATCCCTCCCCTGGCCTGCCTTTGGTGAAGGTGACCATAGCATACTGCTGTTACCTGCATACAGACAATGCCTAAAACTAAAAAAAAAAAAACCTGTCAGACCAATCCACAAATGGAGTGTCATCTCCAGACTCCAGGATTACTTTTAATCCACAGACTGGGAAATGTTTCAGAATTCAACAGGCAATGACATTGATGAATATACAGACTCTGTGATCAGTTATATATATATGCACAGAGGATGTTCTCACAACTGTCTATGTATGGACATTTCCCATCCAGAAGCCCTGGCCACTGCTTTTAACTCTTGTTAATTCATAGCTTACAAAAAAGTCTAGGTATGACCTTCAAAAAGCTATTAGGGCTGCCAAAAGAGCCTACAGGGAGAGATTGTTAGATTATATTTTAGGTACTTCAACCTCCTTACTAGATGAGCCTAACAACTTCTATGCTCAGTTTGAGGCTGACGACACACTTCCGGTGGTGAAAGTTACTACTGACTATGACAGCTGCCCTCTCATACTTCTGTTTGACTTTAGCTCTGCATTCAACATCATCATCTCCAAATAATAAACAGCCAACTGTGCAACTGGATTCTGGACTTTCTCACAAGTGCAACTGCACGTCCTCCACACTTACACTGAGTATTGGTGCTCCACAGGAATGCATTCTTAGCCCCCTTCTGTACTCCCTGTTAACATATGACTGTATGGTAAAACACAGATCAAATATTATCTGCAAGTTTACGATTGCAACCAGCTTAGGCCTCATCTCCAATTGACTCACAGCATGGTGTAGTGATAATAACCTTTCCCAGAATGTCAGCAAAACAAAGGAGATGATTGCGGATTATAGATCAACTGAGTGGAGCTTCAATAGGTCAAAAGCTACAAGTTCCTTGGTGTCCACAATCACAGGTGGATAAAATGCCTACTCCTGGTCCCACCATACAGACACAACAAGTGAGAGCAGCTCGACAATGTCTTTTCTTCCTGCGGAAGGTTGGCCTTCACTCAATTTTTGACTAACTTCTATTGTTGCACCATAGAGAGCATCCTGGTGGGCTGCATTACCTTACATTTTACTACTACACTTTATTAAATCCCTACTACATCAGTAATTTTTTTAAAAATTATTGGCATTTTTGCTTTACATCCTTACCTCAACCTAAATGTTCAAATATGCACAATCTTCATAAGTAAACTGCAGATTTGGTTTAAAACTACATTCTGTGACACAACAACAGTAGTATTTTGAAAATTATTGTGGATTTTCTCCTCCATCATTATCGTTCGCTGGACGAAATGCTGCCAGTCTAGAATGTGCAGAAACAAGTGGAGTGATGCATACAAATGATGAACAGTCCTCTTGCTGATCTGGTGAAATAGAAGGCCTCTTGGCTAAGTGACCAGACACACTCACATTTTTGACTTGTGTGTCAGGATGCTGATCATTTCACTCAATCTCTACCAAGTTTTGTGTTCACAATTGGATATAAAAAAAAAGAAAGAAAGAAAAAAAATCGATCTGACTGGCACAAAAGAGAACAGTAATTACCTGTACTGGAGCTGATCGTCTCTTTGCCAATGACGTGGCCCAGCAGGTCATACTGGTTGAGTCTAGAGCCATCAGGAGCCACAGAAACAGATTTCTCATCATCCGCTGTCCAGATGTAGACAACCTCGTTGTTGGTGTAGGCATCTTAGAGAGACAAACCACAGTAGGGTACTGGTTTATTCTGACCAAACATTTAACTTGCAAACAATTGCAATGCTGTTCTGGTATTCTTAATGCAGCCTTTATAATTTTTGTCTTTCTTTTTAAAGTGCTTTAAATTGAGTATTTTAGTGTTGCTTCAATTACTCTTAGAACACTGTCAGTCCTGTTCCTGGAGAGTATTTTTAGAGTTCAGCTCCAACCTGCTTTAACACACCTGTCTGTAATTATCAAGTTTTCCTGAAGATCCTAATTAGCTGGTTCAGGTGTGTTTGATACTTGGGCACCCCTGCTTTAAAGTCCCCATGAAATCAAAATTGAAGTTTGTTGGCTTTTAGTATAAATATGTTGGCCTTTAGTATAAATATGTTGGCCTTATGGTGTACTCACACTAGGCACAGTTATCTTGTACTGTGCCCTGGCACGATTATTCCCCTCCCCACTCCCCCACTGGCCTGCATTCACATTGCACTTAACGTTCCGGGCCAAAGCACGCTTACGTCATTTATGATGCAACTTTTTGTTTTGAAGAAAACAGGAATAAAGGCGCTTTCGCTAATAGACTGCCTAATAGATTTATCATTTATGCCACACAGCAATTTTCACTTGATTGTGCTACACGTATCAGAAGATTATTACAGAGGCAGCTGCCTTTGATGGAGGAATTTGCAGCTTACTCGCAAACTAATTCCTGTTTATCAATAAGGTAAGAACCAGACCCTTATAAACCTAAATATACTTGAATTAATTACTTGAATAGTGTAGTAGTAATTGAAGATGTTTGCTGTCGTAATAATGACAGTAGCACACATAATAGTAGTAGCTGTTCCGTGCTCCAGTGCGGTTAGCGATCACACTACGTACGTTCTGCGCCAAACTGAACCGTGCTCTGGCCCACCTCTTCCAAGTGGGCCAGGGACGGTTAGGCAAACTGCACCTGGGCACAGTACGGAGCAATCACACTAGTCAAACGAACCAGACTTTTGGGGTCAAACCTGCTTGGGCACGTTTCAGATCGCCTAGTGTGAGTACACCCTAACTGTTATCTATAAGTAAGTAAGTGTGCTCCAAAACAATGACAAAATCAATATGGATCAATGAGTTTGTGGACACCACTCTGCACTTCAGCTTTTCATCAGATTTTCTGTCCATTCAAATGCTCTCTAGAATCTAAAGCATCCCGCACCCTACATTATAAATAGATGCTGAAGCTGGGGTTAAAATTGGTCACTTGTTCACACATTTACTATTTTCTACATGGTGAATGGCACATAATGCACTATATAGGGCATAGGGAATTATTTAGACAGTGTAAATATGCTTTCCATTGGGGAGAGTGAAGTCTGGTTTCACGTTAGTGTCACATGAACTGCTGCAGTGCGCACACAGTCTGCTCTGGTTTAACCGTTTCTATTCTAAAGCTCCTCCATATCACTTTAAAATATAGGAATCTGTACAGAATATCCCCTATATAGTGCACTATGTGCCATTCACCATGTAGAAAATAGAAAATGTGTTAACAAGAGACCAATTTTAGCTGCAGCTTCCTGTGAAGGCCTCCTTTCCCTTTACCTCTGTACATATAAAACATTGTTGGGATAATTACGTGGCTACGCGGAAGCGATAAATAATTCTTTATTGTACGTTTTTAAGGCCAGACAAGTAGTTGAGGGTTGGTTTGTAAAGGACTACACACCTGCGTACATATATATTCAAATGCGCATACCTATAGACTAAACACGTGATGTGCACGCCGTCTGCGTTTTCGCGGGTTTGCGTTTTTGAGGTTTGCGCAGAGATAGTTTTTGAAAAAAAAGGTTTTCAAGGCTTGCATCTTGGAATCTATTTCAGGGTTTGCGTTCTCGAGCCACCAGGCACTGTTTTGTGCGGATGAGTGGGCCGGAGCGTGTTGATTTGAGAGCGTGTCGTGTTAGTGGCCCCTAAGTTATTTAAGCCCAGTGGCCCCTAAACCCAGAGCGTGTTATATTGACGCTAAAGGATGCCATGTGCGTAAGATTTCGACGAAATATCATATGGCGTCACCGATATGACGCCAAAGGATGAGAATGCGTTGTAAGTTAATAACTAATGATCTTTGCAATGGAAGTGAATCAATCAATCAAAACTAACTTTAGCAGGACAATAACTTTACTTAACTCTTTACATTAACTCTGTTACTGTAATTTCCAATTATCACTGTAAAACTGCTTTAAACCAATCTATATTGTTAAAAGCACTATTTCTGTCAGGACCACTATCGTCAAATATGATTGACAATTAGCATACAGTTTGGATTGGCGGTATGGTTCTGTTCTGGGCGAGAACTCCCTGCGCATCCATGCAGCCTAGCATGGATAAGGGCATGGGAGGGCAGCAATAACCCCCTTAGGGTAAACGGAACAGAACCAACATGAATGTATGCAGATATCATTAATTCAAGATTTTAAAATGCAACATAATTCAAGAATTTATTCTGATTCGAGGGGAATCAGAATGTCAAATTCAAAAAGTTTTCAATGCTTTTATTTTCTAAATCCAAATTTTGTCATTGTTTTGGAGCACACTAGCTCATAGATTCTGTAACACTAACATATTCATACTAAAAGCCAAAAAACGTACATTTTGATTTCATGCGGACTTTAAAGGTGAAGTATGTAGTTTCTGTGACACCAGTGGCACCTAGTGGGATTACAAAAATAAAGCCTATTTTCAAACAACCTTGCAAATGCCCCTTTCGCATGTTGCATCTCACCCAAATCAAACATGACTTACAGGTGCTTTTGAAGGCATGTCTCAGCATGTAAAAGTAGACTACTTTCAATAAAATGTTCAACATATTAGGAATACTTTTAGCTGTGTTGCTATGCTATAAAAGCGATTGAGTAGGCTGACACTTTTTTTGCTTAAAACAATTCATCCAATGTATCTGCACTGGGCACATTTTTAACATGACGCACAACAACTGTTTGAGGTTGTCTACACTGGACACACCAAAGTAAACATTATAAACAGGTACATTTGTCTTTCTGAACGGGTGGATGATGATGCTGTATGTTATTGAAGCATCCATAGTAGCACATAGCATCACAATGGCCCATTCGCTTTGACATTTTCATGATCTGTTTAATCTCTGAGGGTGTAAATGCAGTGAATTTTGGCTTGCACTTTTGTAACCGAGGTCCCATATCGGCTAAACACCTCTGGCTCAGTCTGCTACAGTAGCCAATGCCCAAAGTCTCGCTATAGGTTGCGCTGGAAAGAGACTGACAGATCTGAGCAGACCACTCTCAATGATTTAATTGTGCCCAGGAGGCTCAATGTTTTCACTTTTGCGGGAATAGACCCACGAATTGCATACTAATAGTAGTCAATCAATGAACAATAAACTGGGTTTAGAGAATGTATTTTAACATAAAAAAAGTCTTACATACTTCACCTTTAAAGCCACTCCACCATAGCCATCAAAGCAGTGGCCTTTTAACAAATTCATCGTCTTCAACAATAAACTTGAGCAAAATTACTGTCTGACAAATTACCTGCTTTGTGACTTGCACCTATTTTTGTACATAATCCTTTTTTTAAGGACTTTGATTTTTGTACAATAAAAGGCTATAGCCCAGTTTCACAGACATGGCTTAGAATAGATTAAGCCAGGATTTGGCCATAACTCAATTAGGACATTTAAGTTGATTTTATAAACGGCAGCGGCTATTTTGACTAAGTGCAAAATAGCGATAGATGCTATTTACACTAAGTGAAAATAGCAGTATTTTGTAAATAGTAGTTAGATACTATTTGCAACTCAGTATTTTAGTATTATTATAAAACAGTGTGCAATAATAACATATTGAGTGTAAACGATTATATTGATTAAATTAATGTCGCCTTAATGGGACAATGAAGCCCTCCCTACACCTACCCCTAACCCTACCGGATAAACAATTAATTATTAAAGCTGCAGTCCGGCGTTTTTCCTCTTTGTCGCCATCTCTGTTAGAAATCTGCAATTGCAGTCATTATTCACGGATTATTCCTTTTGGATGTATGACCAACATAAGAATTTTCACCGGAAAATGTCATCTGAACTAGTAAGAAACTTCCACTTTTGTTCTGGTTCTGACATTGCAGTAAATCGCGCTGATTAAATTTAACAATCGCTTATAAGTTATGATATCACGCAAAACCGTGCAAATTATACTTTGTTCTCAAATTGTTAATTTTAACAACGTAAGCATTGCGTGACTACATATAATGTCCTTCTGATATGTATCCTTGTTTTCGCATGGGTCCGGTTGCAGTCTCTTTTTTTCTGTAGCCACTCCGAAGTCCGAACGAAGTCTTTTGCATTTTACAGCGGGTGAATCTCTAGTTGTCACTGATGATTGTCGTTTGAACCTTTCTGGATCCGCCATCAAATTAATAAGTTTAATTATATCAAGTGCTGTGAGAAAAGGCTATAAATCTCCACCTCCAACATCCTCACACGCAATATAGCCTTCTAGCCGAGACTCCTTCTTTATGTGTACAGATGTGACGTAATGACGCAAAGACATGGTCGAATCTCCCGCGGAAATCCACCAGTACCACTGGAATTTAAAACATTATTACAAGCTTACCGCTTTGAATCGAGCTAAGGCAGGCAGATAGTTTTGAACACTGGCTGGTTATGTATTTTCTCAGAGATGTATTTTGGATAATTTTTAACCCAAAAAAAGCTACGGACTGCAGCTTTAAATAACCGTTAGGCACTTCCACTTTTCACATATTTTCTTCATATTTATTGAAATTAAATTCCTTTTCAATCTGATATTTTATATATGAGAAGAATGAGTTCGGCAAAAGGAGGATTCGAACTCTGGTCGATCACGTCAAAAAGTATCTACATCTACAAAAAGTATCTACATCACGCCTCACTCCCTATGCTACTGCTGCTGACAGGTAACAGGCATTTTTTGTGCTTTTGTCCCAACCAGACATTGGTGGGG